CGGACGCGATTCCACGCCGTGATGAGGAACTGGTACGACTCGCTCAGACTGGCAAGAAGCGTGATCACCAAGTCGTCCTCGCTGACCGGAGCGCCGACCGCGTCGAGCTGTTCCGCCAGCGTCTTGAGCTTGTTAATGTGCTCCAGCACATCATCACCTTCGTCCATCGTTGTCGTGAAGAACCGTCGACGAAGAAAGAGCTTGTTCGCCAGGCTCTTCTTCTCGAAGTGTCCCTCGAGTCTTGACCATGCATCATGCGCGTCCTTCGCCGACCGCACCAGCGGCAGCTGCGAGTCCTCCAACGCGAGACAGACGATCGCCAGCGCCTTGCGCGACTTCTTGCGAAACGTCGCTTGGTCCGCCGCGGTCGTGCACTGCTCGAGCTTCACTTCCCCACTCGTCACTTCCCACAGTTCGCGCTCCTCCAGCACCATCTGCATCTTGAACTTCCATGTGTGGAAGTTGGTTCCGTCGAACTTGTTGATGCGGGCGGTCGCGGTCGGGGCGGCGTCCATGGCGAAGGCGTAGTCGGGGTCTTGGTCAGGGAAGACGGGGCTTGGGCTCATAACCAAAAGGAAGAGCACTTGAGCAGTAGTTGGCAAAATGCAAAGTGATTCGATTCAGGTCCTTAGTTCGCAACCGCGTGCTACCTCTAAGCCTGCTACTGGATACCTCTTACTGGATACACCCTACTGGATTCTCTACTGGATACACAGTTACCTTATCCAATCAGAGAACGCCACGTCGATGCCCATCTTGTACCCACAATCTTGGCGTAATCACCGTGACGTAATCATCGTCCCGTAATCACCTGAATGATTTCGGTACCACACAGTGAAGGTCACGCCGACCTCACTGATGACGCGTTCGCGTCACACGGTCGCTTGGCGGGGCGTCGTCACATCAGTCTTGACAACAGGCTCTCGGCATTCGTGGGACTTCGCATTGAGGGGGCGTATTGAGGGTTGCTGGTCTTGGGTACTGTGTACCAGTTGTACCCATTAACCGGTTAACCCGAACCGGTCCAATCCGAACCCACGTTGATTATGGTGATTACGGTAAGTTGTTTACGCCACCGATGATTAGACGAGTAGGATGATTGGATGAACACCGGTGAGTGATGGTTGATTAGATGCACTAGGTGATAGGACGCAGGGTCGCGTGTCTATAACAGTAGGGTGTAAGCTCCAACAATTCAATCACTTTCGAATCTTCATTCTACCCCTCAAGTGCCTCCGCTCCGGTCCCGCCGTCTGCGACGTCCCTCCCTCCGCTTCTTCCGAGCTTCGTGTCCAAGATCCATACCTTCCATCACCTACCAATAAAAACAACTCGGTGAAATCCGAGGACCCAAATCCGGGCACGCGCACCAGTCGTGACGAGGCTCGGTGAAAGCCTGAACCGTCCAGGAGGTTTTTGTATAGCGGTAGCCCGGGCTTTGGTGTTGCAAAGCCTCCAGAGGGGGTGTCCCTGGAACCACAGTCCTTTGAAACCGGAGTTCCTTGAAACCAAGTTTCAGGGATGGCGTGTCACCTTGTGAATCCCTATCGGCGTCGTTTGCCTTTGGGGAGCCTGGATCGATCACCAAGTGAGTTGTTCAATACAAATAGGCAGTTAAACAGTTGAGCGTGACGTCCACTTGAACACACTACTCAATGGCGAGGGGACCGGAGGCGCAACGAGATGGGTAAACTGGTAGGTCCACGAGGAAATCCCAGAATACACTCAGCTTCCGATAAACCAATACAATACAGAGTTATACACAACAAACAGCCGCCACTTATTCTTCGACCCTTGGGCGGTGGGTCTTACACCAGTCGACTAGGCCGATTCCAGAGTACTGGTCAACTCTGGGGCCTTTCGCAACGCTCACCACCCTCTAACGAGGGAAATATACACAATCCAATATAATCCTCTCTCACAAATGCAGTCTCAAAGTCAAACACTCAGGGGACAACTGCTAATAAATCTCCCCAAGCTCAATTAGTAACATGAAATGGGACACCACCCTTATCTACACGCAATGGGCCCAACTAGGATATGAAATGCGTGGATCACTTCAGACGCTCGAGCGAATGATCCCCACGCAGATGGACTTGATGATGGTGGGGAGCTCCGCGACGACCGTGTCCTTGGCGACCGACGGGCCCGATTCCTGGCTGGCAGTGACTCTCGACTTGCGCAGTAGTGGGTAAAACGAACTCTCTGATTGTTTTCTGCTAGACTATCGCTAAGCTCAATGTAAAGGCTATCTTCTTCTGGGTTCTTCTGTGTTCTTCCGTGTTCCTTGCGTGCGATCTTCGTGAATATCTTGACTTGAGTATGTTTGGGGGCGTTGTTTACGGCGACTTCGAAGTAGACTGGATTTTTCATCCCATCATCCCACTCTTCAGTCAGTGACGTCTGGGTACAAATCAGGTCAGGCATCGTCGCTTGGTTTCAGGCTTGGATCCGAGGGTGCGTTTCAGGGATCCTTGATTCTGCAGCACTTGGGTTCAGGTATCCGGTTCCAGGGGGCCAGCGGCTTGCACGAAGCGCGACTTGTGTTGCGAGGCTTGAGCTTGTTCCGGGTGCGCAAGGTAGTTTGTGGGTCTTTATCGAAGCGAGGTGGGACGCCAGCTGCAATACGTTCGCAGGGGCGTTTTCGACATCCCGAGGGTCAATCCGCTTGAGGACGGGGGCGACTTGGACGCACCACTCGATTCCACGGATCCTCGTCCTGAAACGCGAGCTTCCAAGCCTGAAGGGCCCATCTCCGATCTCACCACACTCGTTCTGCGGAACACCGTCAACTTCCGGCAAACACGTTGCCACGCAGGTACAGCCGGGTCTGAATCCATCAACCAGACCATCAGAGCGCAGTAATCTGCCATTCATGCGACTCACGCGGCTACTGGGAAAAATCCCGTTTAGCCTCGTGTCAATCGTCACACTCAAGTGAGATAGAATCCGGCTCAAGGCAGGTTTCAACGTTGGGGATGCAGTCTGGCTGTACATCCCAAAAGTGCAGCCGGGTCTGAGTCGCAAGTTGGCCCACTTGTGGCATGGCCCATTCAGGATCGCCGAAGTGGTTGGCGAGTTCCGAGTAAGGCTCAAGGTCGAGGACACGGGCTACCGCGTAAACCCTTGGGTTCATATCAGCCGACTGAAACCCCGGGCGTTGTATCCCAGACGGCCTATAATCCAACCGGAGATCGAAGATGACGATGACACAGTACTCCCTCCCGAGGACAGTTAGGAAGCGGACAACGAGCATGACGAGTACGAAGTGGAGAAGATCATCGGACGTCCAAACGGGCACGAGAGTATCTCATCAAATGGAAGGGGTACGATGAGCCTGAATGGATACCGATGGCACAGCTGAATTGCGGAGCGCTCTTGTATGAGTTCAATCAAGGGGCGAAAGCCCGAGCGCGGTTCCAAGCCATGCAGGCTGGGGACGACCACCCTAACATACAATAGTTGGGGGCGGCCAAGTCCGAATGGGGCAATCCCAATTGGGAGTGTTGATCCCAGTTGGAGATTCCCAGGCGGAGACCCGAAATGCCTGGATGTGAATATGTGAATTACGGAAAAATTGATTGTGAATTTGTATGGAGCGGATCTACGATGGAGTTGTGACTACGGAGGGTAACCTGAGCGGAATCGTTTGGATACGCTGTACCATTGGCTACGACGGTTGCGTTTGACCAATCTAACCACGCATACACAGTTGCCTACAATGGACTATCTTCAGTAGTCCAACAAATTGGACCTATCAACTCGGCTTCCATGATTTACGGAGTTGGCATTACTTCTGGTTACATGAAGAATACTACATCCACTGGCTATCAATGGTACAACAGCTCTAAAAAGGAAGAGCACTTGAGCAGTAGTTGGCAAAATGCAAAGTGATTCGATTCAGGTCCTTAGTTCGCAACCGCGTGCTACCTCTAAGCCTGCTACTGGATACCTCTTACTGGATACACCCTACTGGATTCTCTACTGGATACACAGTTACCTTATCCAATCAGAGAACGCCACGTCGATGCCCATCTTGTACCCACAATCTTGGCGTAATCACCGTGACGTAATCATCGTCCCGTAATCACCTGAATGATTTCGGTACCACACAGTGAAGGTCACGCCGACCTCTCTGATGACGCGTTCGCGTCACACAGTCGCTTGGCGAGGCGTCGTCACATCAGTCTTGACAACACTCCCACTCGACTCGTCAGCGACCACGATGCCCAGCTTCGTCCTGAGCGCGTCGAACTGCGGCGCCGCGATCGGCTTCGTCATGATGTCCGCCAGCATGTCGAGTGTCGAAACATACTGCAACACCACTTGACCGTCTTCCACCTTCTCGCGCACGAAGTGGTAGCGAATGTCGATGTGCT